AATAAAGCACCAACCGGCACCCCACACACACACACTCTTCGAGTTGTATATAGCGAACATGACAAAACATACATACAGCATAATCAATACCTTACCCTTCCCGAACCACATAAACAAACAAACTCCGGGCTGCGCACCCGTGCCGTCACGGTAAGTCAATCAAGGAGCAGCACCGTGACCTCCCTTTTTTCCTTGCCTATTATTTCCAGGGCCTGTACCGTGGTCAGGATGTTCTCAAATATGGACCTTCCGAACGCACCCTGTTCCCAGCCAACTAGTGAGTTTCTTTCTTGGTTTTCTTTTCTTTTTCTTCCCTTTTTTTTTTTTTCTGACTGGGAAAAGGAAAATGGCAAATGAAGACCAAAAGACAACCGCGTTACGTTGAGAGGGCGGGTGAGCGGGCCCGACCCGAAGGACGGCAACGGCGGCCTGTGGGCGGCAGCGCGCACGGGGCTTGGTGGCGGAGAACGGTGCGCGGGCAGTCGCACACGGGCAGGCAGGCACGCCTGCCGCACAAACAACCTCCTGAGCGCCACGTGGCAGTTCACGCGAGACCCTGCGGTTGCTGTCTCGATGACCCCCCACCGGCATCATTGCCCTCAATTTCCCCCCTCTGCGCGGTGCCACTCAAACAATATGTCAGGAAACGTGCAATCTATCAACTGTCTTGTTGATTGGTGATTGGTGACACGGCCACGTGGCGCTCACGGACGAGCGGGGTTCGATTGGATCTTGAGGGCGCGAGCTAAGATCGCGGGGAGAGGGGGGGAACAAACAAATGAGCGGGGTTTGTGTGTGTGTGTGTGTGTTGGCAAGACATCGCATCGGAGTGCGCGGGAGGATTGAATTGAAATGGAATTAGCGAGACATCGACTAATCCGGTCGTCGAGTGCCACGTGGCGCGCTTTCCCGCTGATTTGTTTGTTGCTGATTTTTTTGTTGCCCCCCTCTCTCGCTCTGTCTTCTTTCCATCGTCACGTGTTCAGCTTCTCCCACTCTGCCATTCTCTCTCATCAATCTTAGGGGTTGATTTCTCATCGTCCATGATGCCGTTGCCCTCCGCTCTTCTCGGCCGTTGATCTCCTTCTTCATCATCGTCACCGGCTCTCCTCCTTTTCCTCCTCTCTTCTCCTTCTCCTTCTCCTCCTCCTCCACTTCCATTCCCTCCTCGTCCTCCTCTTCCACCTCTCTCCTGCCCCTTCTCCCCTTCTTCCCCCTCTCCCTTCTCGTTTGTCTTTTCCTCGCCTTCCTCCTTTTCCTCTTCTTCTCCTCTTCTTCTCCCTCCTCGACTCTTCTTCGCTCTCTCTCCTTTGCTTCAACCTTCTACTAGTCTCCGTCCCTAATTGGATCCTCCTCCTCCTCCTCCCTCCCCTCTCTCTCCCCCTACCTTTCCTCCTCCTCCTCCTCCTCCTCCTCCCGCGTACAACACCTGTTCTCCTGCTGCCTCTCCATCGGCTCTCCTCCTTTGTCTCTCTTCGTTGTCCTCTTGTCTATCTCTTCTTCTTCTTCTCCTCGTCCTCGTCTTTTCTGTCAGTTTCCCTCCCTCCCTCCCTCCCTCCCTCGTAAATCTCCTACCCTGTTGCCCAACTCATGTGCGTTTGCCTTCTCTTTCAGCATTCCTCTCGCACGCGGAGGCAGGGCGGAGCAGGGCGCAACGAGTGTGTTGCGCCAGGTACGACCTGCGCCGGGCCCCAACTGAGCGGGGGTTGAGCGCTGTAGTGCGACATGTTGAGGGAAGCAGCGAAGGGAGCGGTCCTACCCTTCCGATCTCCTTCATTCGATTGTCCTCTTCTCCCTCCCCGCTCCCTTCGTTAGCGTCTATCATCACAACGACGTCGCCACGCTGTCCTCCTCCCTCCACCCTGTCCTCCTCTCCCTCCATCAACCTTATAACAAGCTGCTTATGCAGAGCATGTCGAACTGCTGACTTGTCTTGCTGCTTCTTCTCTCTCTCTCCTCCTCCTAATCAGTGGACATCGTCTCCTCCCTTTCGACTAGTCAATTCACGAGAATTAAAAATTGACTTTTTTCCCTTCGATAATCTTTAGCAACCTCATTTAGACTTTCATCAATCGATCAATTGCGTAGCCCGGTGAGTTAGTCAATCTAGCCATCGATTGATCTGATAGGTTCTCCATCTCGTTAACAACCTGATCCATCCAATCAATCAATCAATCAATCAATCAATCAATCAAGGAATCAATTCCAATCAATCAATCAATCAATCAATCAATCAATCAAGCAAGCAAGCAAGCAATCAATCAAGGAATCAATCAAGGAATCAATCAATTAAGGAATCAATCAAGGAGTCAATCAAGGAATCAATTCCGATCAAGGAATCAATCAAGGAATCAATCAGTTAAGGAATCAATCAAGAATTGTGCGAGGACGTGTAAGGGGAGAGGAGAAAGGTCAAGATGTGGCGCCTAAAGCAGTTTTACCCGAAAGAGACGGGCAGTCTAGAGGGGAAAATTATCGAAGTCGGAAGTTTAAGGGTACAGGTCCGGGACCTGATTGCGCAAGGGGGTTTTTCATCTGTGTACTTAGCGAAATGCGTATCGACTGGGCGCCTCTACGCTCTCAAACAGATGGTTTGTCAGGATCAGGAGTCGGAGCAATTGATTAAGAAGGAGATTCAAACGATGCTGGTGCTGAAAGGACATCCAAATATCTTAACGCTGCATGCGCATTCCGTTTCGGACGTTGGGAGAGGGAGGGAATGCTTCCTGCTTCTCGATTACTGCGACAAGATGCTTGTGAACGTCATGGAGAGAAGAGGAGGGCCTTTCGACGAGAGACAGCTGTTGCTGATCTTCCGAGATGTCTGCAATGCCGTATTTGCCATGCATTCGCTGAATCCGCCGATTGCACACAGGTAAGTGGAACACACAAGACTTTCTCGCTCTCTCTCTCTCTCTTTCTCTCTCTCTCCCCCTCACTCTCTCCTTGTCTCTCTCTCTCTCCTTCTCTCGCTCTCGTTTCTCTCTCTCCCTCTCCCCTTTCGCTCTCTCTCTCCGTCTTCCTTATTCTCTCTCTCTCTCATTTTGAACACAAAACTCTCTCTCTCCCACCCTCTCGTTTCTCTCTCTCCCTCTCCCCTTTCTCTCGCTCTCTCCGTCTTCCTTATTCTCTCTCTCTCTCTCTCATTTTGAACACAAAACTCTCTCTCCCACCCTGTCTTTTTCTCATGTTGAATAGAACACTCTCCTTTCGCACCTGCTTGTTTCCCTCCCTCCCTCCCTCCCTCTCTCTCTCTCTCTTTCACTCTTTCTCTCTCTCTCGCTCACTCACAACTCACTCTCTCCTTGTGTCTCTCTTCCTCTTTCTCTCTCTCTTTTTCTCTGTCGCTCTCTCTCTTTCTCTCTTCCATCTCCTTTCCTCTCGCTCTCTCCGTCTTCCTTTCTTCTCTCCCTCTCTTTCGGATGTTGTCATTTCCTCTCTTTTGCACTCTCGGTACGCGTGAAAATAGACGTCTCTCTCTCTCTCTTTTTGTATTTCTCTTGGTCTCTCCTTCTACTGTCATTCTCCCTTTGCTGTCATTTCCTCCCTCTTTCATACTCATGGCGTGGGAATATGGACTCCTCTCTCTTTCTCTCTCTTTCTCTCTCTTTCTCTCTCTCTCTCTCTCTTTCTTTCACTTCATCTGGTACCCTCTCTCTCTCTCTCTCTGTGTCTTTCTCTTTCCCCCTTTCGTATATAGATCATGTGCGCACTCTATTCTCTCCCTATCTCCCGCTCTTCTCTGCCGTTCGCGTTTATTTGCTGACGTCTCCTCTGTCGCCTCTTTCCGCATACTGTTCCCTCCCCCTCCCCTTCCCTACGTCGTACTCTCCACCCCTCCCTCTTTTGCTTCTGCTCTCTCATACTCTCGCTCTCTCATTCTTTCGTTGTCGTGGACACCGTGCGCTTGGTCCAGTTTGGACCTGCCAGTGCGCCCTCCGTGGTGAAGACGGCCACTAAATAAAGACCTCTCGTT